CCCCCCCACACACACACACACACTTCTGGTTGTCTTAGTTGGTACGCGTGCATAATGACTTACTTTTGTTTGAGACAAAACCATAGAGTTCAGCTCTCATTGCTACTTCATCGTGAGGATAAATACGAATAAGTCGTGCAGCAATTGGGGGTATTAGCTCCAACTTCTTAACATTACTGGTGCCAGAAAGTTCAGATGTATCAAACATCTAGATTGAAAAGTAAAAAAAACGGTTAATATATCACGTTGGTATCCAATAAATGAGAAAAAACATTTTGAGTGAAAATATTCTTCCCAGTGGGTGCACTCGGGTGGGTAATATGACGGGGAGGTCCGACGTATTTTTTTGGGTTGACAGTTTTCGTTCCCGGTATTTTTTTGGGCCAAGAGACCAGCCACGTATTTTTTTGGGTCTTGAAATGAAACCCGTATTTTTTTTTGGGTCGTCACATCTCCGAGTTCGATTTTTGTATCAGAAAATTATTTGAAGAGCCTGTTGAATTCAAGAAATCAGTTTTGAAGTCTTGTATTTTTTTGGGTCAGAAATTTGGATGCCATGTATTTTTTGGGTGTAAAATTTCAGGTTTGAGTATTTTTTTTGGGTTGAAATATGAAGCTCCGTCGGACCCCCCCCCCCCGTCATGTTACCCACGCGAGTACACCCCCTGGGATATTCTTACTAACGATATAGAAGCTTTGCCTCATCACGTCATGGCAGCCATGACAGGATGAATACTTGTGATGAATGAATTCTCTCATGTAAATCGGATTTGATCATGCCTATTCAATTGTTCCTGCCTCCTGTCATGGCTGCCATCACGTGATGTACAATTCCTCTTTACCCCTAGCTTATATTTCAAGATTCTCAGGGTACCACCACATCACTTAAAATCCCATGAGATATAAATAACAATGACAGAGCTTCCAAGTTGGTTGATCTAACGAGAGAAGCTAATGAGGAATGCTTTATTATCGTCAACCAACATGGCGGCTATGACGTAACATGCACAACCTTAAAGAATAAAACGTCCAGGGTCCTTAATACTCTTTATGAACACCTTGTCTGGATGCCAGACACAAATGTTCATACTTGGTGTATCCGTTTTGTAAATCGAATTTTTCCATAATATATAATAAGCGCACCCATAGTTCTTTTCGCCGTTCGCCGTTCTCCGTTCGCCGTTCTCCGTTCGCCGTTCGCCGTTCGCCGTTCGCCGTTCGCCGTTCGCTCTTCCGTAAGGCAACCTTTTTTGTAATAAGACTATTTTGTTATCACTAAATGATATAATCACCGCGAGAATTAATGACATAAAATTAATTTTTACACTTCTTTCTTACACAGTTATTCTATACATACCCTACATATCTTTAGCAAAAGTCGGATCGAAATGCTTGTTGATCGCTGATTGTTTTGAAAATCCCGCGCTCTTATTGGCTTATTGTCACAAGGATTGTGACAAAGTTGTGATTGTTTTCCACGGGAAAAAATGTGAAGTGTTGGAAGATTAATTAAACCATTTTTTCCAGAAAACTCATTAAATACTCATTTAATACACTAGTAAAAAGTCCTTAGATTAAATAGATTCAAATTAGATAGATAGCAACTAAAGAAACTGTACTTACATGCTGAAATTGTCTGTTCCCGTTGTATGGCAGAAAAGCCTGGTCTTCTAAAGCGTATTCTATCTTAACTTTCTTTGGGTGATCCTCATCTTTAGCGCATCTTTGAATTCCAATGGCTGTTACCGTTGTTACTACTAGTAGATCAATCTGAAAGAAAAGAATTCGAAATCTGAGAAGATATGTTGGTAATCTTTTGTTTGTGTAGTGAGGCGGTAGTAGTGAGGCAGCACTACTAGTAGTAGTAGTGGCAGTACGTAGCAGCGTTAGCGATGGTGGTGGTAGTAGTAGTACTAGTAGTACTAGTAGCAGTAGCAGTAGCAGCGTTGGCGATGGTGGTAGTGGTAGTAGTAGTAGCAGTGATGGGGCTGTAGTGCTGGTGCTAGTGGTTGTGGTGGTAGCAGTGGTAGCGATGACCATATTGGTGTTGGGGTAGTAGTAGTAGCAGTGATGGGGCTGTGGTGCTGGTGCTAGTAGTGGTAGTGGTTGTGGTGGTGGCAGTGGTAGCGATGACCATATTGGTGGTGGGGTAGTAGTAGTGGTTGTTTAGAGAAGGGGTGGTAGTGGTTATGGTAGTAGCTGTGGTTATGGCAGTGGTAGTGGTCGTAGTGGTAATAGTGTTGTTAATAATAGTTATCAAAAGCAAAGGCAGTATGTAGCAGCAGCAGCAGTAGCAGTTAAACTTAGAATAACCTGTAAATACGCGTCAGCGCTGCTTTTCCAGCATCCTTTCTCTCCGAGGCTTTGATTTGCACGACTAAACCAGGCACTATATTTATGAGGCTTATCCGGCTCTTTTATGCTTGAGGCTGTAATTTGATTATCAAGGATAGCACCGCTTTCCATGCCAAGAGCAGCATCAAATGTTTCTGGTTAAGAGCAAAATAAAAAAATAGTTTAGAAAGTATGTCTGTTTAGCTATTGTGCCGAATCGGACAATGGACGGGGTCTAATTTTTAAATTTCACGAAATTTTGCGTGTAGTTTTTTTATTATTATATAGACAAATCCACAAAGTAAAACTACGCAAGTTAATCAAAACAGGTCCCGGAAAACATCGCAAGTAACGTCAACGATATCCTCACTAGTGAAGATATGGAAAATACAGTCAATTCAAAAAACGTTGTCGTCGACCGGCTCAAGCCTACGCGACTGGACCGAAAGGAATATGGGTAAAATTCACTGAAGCGGTTAAATATTCGTTCTGAATTAATTGTTCCCGCTAGTAATAAGATAATGGCGAGAAACAATCCATCAAATGCATGTCTTTGGCTTTAGGGAAAGAAAAACAAAGTAGTTATGATTCAGTTCACAATTTCGAAAATGTGAAGGCATCAAAAAAACGTCTCCTTCAACACTTCCCGCTCGCCTACAAAGGTTCGTGCTGTAAACCAAGCATAACTAGTCAGATAAAATTATGGAGTCAACTCGGCTTCAATGATTACTACCCAGAGTTCCTTTCGGTCCAGTCGCGTAGGCTTGAGTTGGTCGACGACAACATTTTTTGAATTGACTGTATGTTACTCTGGTCCCCGATGTAGTTTGTACGAAAAATACGAGTGGCGTATTTCCCAGTAAAACGCGCATGTCTATATAATAAACTAAAGTACTTCTCATGTTTAATACCTACTGAGTGGCTATTAAATGCTTCCTTCAAAAACAAGCAAGGACGATTTTTCTCTCTCGCAAAACAAAGATAATGTATAACTAGGGGCGACTGTTTGTTTAATGTTTGTTTGCTGTATGCTGCTTTCGTTCAGTTCGCGTCTAGAGGTGCTAATGTCATCTAACTTGTTCTTTCTTCAGGTACCGGACACACTTTAGTTTATGTAATGGGATACTTCGAGGATACCGAGACCATCTGGCAAGGCATTGTGGGTTGTGCAAGGGGCAAAACCAAACTGAAAGATGGTGAATATAATGTAAAGTTTCGTGTTTTGTCTTTCTTTCATGAGTAAAAGTGATCGATGTGTCGTCTTTGGCTGTTAATAATACTGGCAATATAAAGAAAAATAGATCATCAAGTAGACGCCCCATAATGCCTTGCTTAATTCACAATGGCCGCCGTATTGTCGAAGTAGTCTAAGGTATTCAATAAAAACAACGAAAGACCCCAAGTTTTTCAATTATACGAAGGATACACTAGTTTTCCTGTATATGCAGAAGGACCCATACAGGTGATGGAGTAAACTCTAATGTCCCGCGCCTTTGTTAAACAAAGGAAAACGGAAGACTTATCCCACACTCAAGAACTATCCCACTTCATGTAGATAGATCAATTTTCGTATGACTGTGAAAAGCTCACGACACGAACACGATCGATCATGACACGGCAAGGCATGCACCAGCCCAATTACATTGCACGAGAATTCACTCTCCATCCAATCAAATGCCTAAAGCATGGCATGAACACGGCGTGGACACGGTTTACCCAATGTCACGGCACTGCCAGTCCAATCACATTGCGCGAGAAAAAAATCCGCCAATCAAAATTCTAGAAAACATCACAGTCGCGGCAAGGCACGCATTCGGCACCGACTTTTTCACAGTCATACGAAAAGTGCTCTAAGATTGCTTTTACCTCGATCACAGCCGTAAATCTCAACGGCGAGCTTACAGCCTGTCTGACTGAGAACAAACTTAATTGCTGATGTAGAAATTGACGAGAGTAAAGCGTATCGTACAGTCACGTTTTCTTTCAAAACAAATTCCTAAAAATTGGCAAAAACAGAATAGCTAGTCAGTCAGTCGGTAGTTAGTTAGTTAGTTAGTTAGTTCGAGCGAACTCCAAATAAAATTAAACAATATAATTCTATTAATTTTTGTCTAAGTATATTATCTTATATTATTATGTTGTGGTCTACTGTAGATTAGTCCCCCTGCATTGATCGTGGATTTTTCATTTATCTTATTTTATTCATATATATTTTTTCAACCTGTATTGGATCTGCAACTTTTTCTCTTGCTATATCATGTGTTTATTTTTATCTGATTTATTTGGACGACCCACCCTTTTAGGGCCACCCATCGTTTTTTGTGTGATACATTATTTCTGGTGACCCATCCTTTTAGGGTCACCCATCGTTTTTTGTGTCATACATCATTTCTGGTGACCCACCCTTTTAGGGCCACCCATCGTGTTTTGCGTTATACATTATTTCTGGTGACCCACCCTTTTTGGGCCACCCATCGTTTTTTGTGTGGTACATCATTTCTGGTGACCCACCCTTTTTGGGCCACCCATCGTTTTTTGTGTGATACATTATTTCTGGTGACCCACCCTTTTAGGGTCACCCATCGTTTTTTTGTGTCATACATTATTTCTGGTGACCCATCCTTTTAGGGCCACCCATCGTTTTTTGTGTGATACATTATTTCTGGTGACCCACCCTTTTAGGGTCACCCATCGTTTTTTGTGTCATACATTATTTCTGGTGACCCACCCTTTTTGGGCCACCCATCGTTTTTTGTGTGATACATCATTTCTGGTGACCCATCCTTTTAGGGCCACCCATCGTTTTTTGTGTCATACATCATTTCTGGTGACCCACCCTTTTTTGGGCCACCCATCGTTTTCTGTGTGATACATTATTTCTGGTGACCCACCCTTTTAGGGCCACCCATCGTTTTTTGTGTCATACATCATTTCTGGTGACCCACCCTTTTTTGGGCAATACATATTTTTGGTGACTAACCCTTTGTGAGTGGCCAACCCTTTTTTTGGGTGATATCGAATTTCTGGTGACCCACCCTCTTTTGGGCCCCAAAACGTGCTGATTAAGATTATTCTGTCATAAGTTGTACCTTAGGAGAACCATTCTCTTGGTAGTCTTGCTCATCGCCGTTGGCATCTTCATATGTAATATTAAATTCAGCACAAGATTGAGCACGGACAGCAAAACCAGTAATAAAGGAATTGGCAGTCAGCTGGACTTTTAGATAGTCATTTATAGGCGAAACAGTATTCGATTTTAGCCGTACATTATCTTTTTCAAGAGTACTCGAAGAGGCACTCGTCAAACTTGAGTTCTCAATTCTTCCACTATCCATGCCAAGACCACTGGAACATTCTTTAAAAAAACACACAAAATGTTTAGAAATTTGACAAACTGACAAATTTTCTCCCCACACTCTTCTCCCCAACAAATTTGTTTTTTACCGATACGCCGGCCATCTTGAATTCTATTGTTTTAATTGAGACATCATGGGATGGCCGCCACCCGCTTAGCTCAGTTGGTAAGAGCATCGGTCTGTTGTGCAGGAGGTCGTGGTTCAAGCCTCACTAGACCAATACTCAGGGTCTTAAAATAAATAAAGCCTTAAAATAACTAAAGAGAAGGTTCTGTCTTTGTAATGACGTCTGCAAATGGTTAGACCTTCACGTGGCTCGGATGATCACGTTAATGGCGATACCTTCCCTAATTAACCAGAGATGTTAAGAGAGGACCACAGGTTTATTTTCCGAATCCTTTTTCTCAATGAAAGTCTGTAATTTCTCTGTACGAACAATGGAAAATCTCGAGCTCCATTTGTACTGAAAATTCAAGCAAAATAGCTGCTCCCGCATTTGTTGTTTGTAATTGTTGCAAAATATCACGACACCTGATCACGTGCACTTGTTTATTTTCACGATTATTGTCACGTGCAACTTGTTTCCTGACCGGTCGGGATACATTTAGATTTAGCTAGTGTCACGTGGTCATCTTTCAACCAATGAGAGTGTTCGTTATATCGGAAAATTTCGTAGCTATATAACAAAATTATTTATTATATTAATATTATTTATCATATTATATTATTTATTATATTAATATTTATACTAAGTAATATTACATTACCCATGTAAAAGACTTCCATAGCTGACAGAGCAAATTTGTCGCTACCAGCAAGAAGGGTTTTCGCATCATCTGTACCCTTTGTATAGCCGTTTGGTAGATGGTAGTCTGTCCCAAGGGCATCACAGTTCGAATTACCATCTTGCTGAGGGTTGCTTCCAATCACCAGATCACCATTACCAAATATAGGACCGGAGGCAGGTAAACTCTTTATGGCATTATCTTTGAAATTCAAAGTTAGGATAGGTAGTGTTTTATTATCGACGTTTTTCAGCGAAAATAGGAAGCCTTTATCTGCATACTGAGAAGCACCTTTGAAAAAAGAGATAAGGTCAAAACAATAGCCATCTTACGGGACCAGATTTAGAGTAGTATCAAGTATCAAGCTTTTAAAACGGATATCTGAAAGTGGAGGGGTTATTTACCAGTAGCCATCAGCTAAGCCAAAAGAATTGGTTTCCTATTTTGGACCATCGAATTGCTTACTATCAATCACGTGACTTTCTTGGAGTTGACTGGGGTAGGGGGGGGGGGCAAACAAGCGGTTGACTGAGGGGCAACTAGCGGATGCTAAGTCAAAACATGTCAAAATGAGTCCTCAAACTATTGTATTTGACTATTTTTACGACATGAAACCAGAAAACAAGAGATCAAAACAACCTCCTAAATTCTACAAGGCATTAAAAAAGAGCTATTACAGGAAGTGACGTCTATTGATAGCAACCTATTATAAAAATATCAAAATAGGCCTCTAGTATTCAAGAGTGACCAGTTGCAATGACAAAGCTTTGTAGCCCATAGTAGACGACGATAAAAAAACTTTTTTGAAATGGGCAGGTCAAAGTGAAATGAATCGACCTTAGAAAAAAGAAAGAAAACGAAAGTACAAATTTTCCTTGTATTTCAAGTATAGTTCTTTTTGTGCGCACGAACTGGAAAATGAAGCAAAAAATAAATGAAATGCAACTGAGAATGGCTTGCTTTTTGTCTTTCGATCGGTCAAGAAATGAAAATACTGTATTTGAACATAGTGGGCTCTCTGTGGTTAAACAAGAGTTATAATAAAAAAAGAGTGGTTGGCTTACCACCCCAGTCTGCTGTCGTAAAGCCTCCAAATATAGCATCATCGCGTATTTTAAAAAGCGACACGGTCGGGCCTTTATTGTCACATTTGGTATGGAAATCTACCATATTCCAGCCATGATGCCTACTGTTAAAACAACTTAACCATCTAACATTGTTGGGAGTTTCTGTGCTGAGGTGCTTGAATAATTTGGTATGATACTCTGTGTTGTCAGCGAGGATATCAGATATAAAACCTATAGAGAATCGAAAAAAAGACGCAATTTAAATAAGCTACAATCGTTGCCAAATGTATTGGCACGATAAAGGTTTTTCATACAAAGATGCAGCATTAAATCACGAGAACACTACCCTCTCCCTCCCCCCTCAATCTTCGGTGTGCGAACACATTTTGGCAGAGATTGTATCTTCTTTTGTTGCTGTTTTTCCCTCTGCCTCTCCCCCTCCCACAACCATAAATCTTAGCGTTAAAACAAAAAGAAAAAACAAGCAAAAAACAAAAACAAACAAACAAAACAAAACAAAACAAAACAACAACAAAATGTGTCGTTATAGTTAAATAGGCCAATTATGCCTTCTCAGGATCTTGCTTTTCTTGCTCTCATGTCTATCTATTCATTCGTTCATATGTACTTTCTTACTTTCTGTTTTCTATTCATTCATTCAATCATCCATTTTGTTTCATTCATATATTCATTCATTTTATTCATTCATTCATTCAACCACCCATCCATCCATATTCATTCATTCATTTATTCATTCGTTCGTTTATACTCTCGTTTTCTTGTCTTTATTTCATTCTATTCTTCCATCCTTTTTTCTTCCATTTTTCCTGATTTACACACACATACCTTTTATAGACACTCCCGATACCCCCTCTCCCTCTCCCAACATACGGCTGACCAATAATTAGCAAAGCTGTTTTCACCACAGTCACCACCTACCTTTGTATCTCATCCAGAACTGAACACCAATGACATCATTGCAATCAGAATTTATATTCCTTATACAAGTTTTGCCAGTACTAGTAGAAGTATAGGCAAGGCTTCTTTTTTCTACAGAATAAACGCCTTGTTTCAGGTTGGTTTCGAATTCTTTCTTCCATTTTATTCCACCGTATTTTGCAGTGTCTCCCGAAGTTATATTATCTGTCATCAACCGCGCCAGCACATCTACATCTTTAAATAAAAAAGTATTGTGTAATGAGATGGACATTCTTATGAAGACGGCGTTCCTGGGTACCAGGGAACATTATTACGAAACCTTACTTTCATATACACCTATTACAATAAACGTCGTCATCGGAAAAAGGCGATAGGCAATAGGTCATTCCGACATGGAAATGGTTTCGTTCAATACAAACAACATTGAATCAGTCTTAACACTAAGGTCCATGATCTTGACGAGAATAAGAAGCAGAAACACAAGTCATTCCAGCTATTCTCGGATCTTGGAATGACCGATCTCACATCGCTTTTCGCCTAATTGCCTGTCGTCTTTGGCGATGACAAATATGAAATAGGTTTATACACTCAATGGACTACTATGACGATGCGGCGGCCATTTTGAATCACATTATGGGTCTTCCTGGGGGCAAATACACAAAGCTTTGCTACAATAATGGCGTATATTGATATTTATGGTTAACAGAAAGGCAAATTGACAAGAGATGCATTGAAATAAGTGGACAGTTCCAAAACTAAGAAAATTTCTCAAATAACGTGGGACCGTCATTTCAGCATCTTTGTTTTGTTTTCCCCCCTGGGCGACCCATAATGCCTTGCGATTCAAGATGGCCGCCGCATCGTCGAAGTAGTCCATTGCAAAATAATTGTCGGGTTCAATAACATAGGACATCACACCGCCTTCACCCAAAGTGATCAACGGTTATATACACACACATTCATACCTATATTACCTATATATACCTATTAAAGAATTAATACAAAGAATTAAGGGCGGAATGCAAACCTCGATAATAGACCTTTTTTGAGTTCCAAATAAGCCTGAAGCGAGATGATGTTTTACCCCCGTCTCTAGACCATAATCTAGAGAAATATTTATTTTTTTCTTTTACCCATTCATTTACAACTTACAAAGTTAGAGAAAGTCAGATTATTTTACTCCCAAAAAGAAGTTTAAAACGGCTAATATCATCAC